GTGGCTCTCGCACATATAGAAGGATTTGTGACAAACGGAATTGGCAATGAAAGTGGTGGGTATCGATATCGAATTGCAAAACCAGACATTATCACAGCGACGACGACGCGGCGAGCAAGCGCAAAGGGAAAATGTTGGACCTTGTTCCATACAGAAAGTACCAGCGCTCTAAATGCATTCGATAGGCGAGGGAGGAGCGATATCGATCTTGTGAGCGACGAAAAACTCTGGGAGAGAGAACAGAAATGGTCATGAAGCACCCATCGTATTACCTGTATGTATACCTTCCCCCACTACAGACGAGAATTGTGTTGATCTGAGATGAAAAAGATGTCGGGAGATACCTATACGGGCACAGTCGCTTCATTCGGCATACCACGTGCGGAGCTCAGGACTCGACGAGTTGATGGGAACGGGTGATATCAAGATGCTCGAAGCGTGGTTGTCCAGCCTGCACCCCATATCACTGCCCCCACCCTTTGCCACAGAGTTGATCTGATTCGAATTCAGTTAAAAAAGTGACATATGATCTGGCTCTTTCAGTTACTTCTGGACATTAGACACGATTGCCACTAGTACTACAGAACCCAAGCTAGGACAGTGCCTCGCCGCCTGGTGCTTTCCCAACGCGCAAATATGTCAGCAACATGTAATCTCGGGTGGATATTGTTATTTTGGAGGGCTTTTTTGTGCATTCCCCTCAAAGTATACTTGCGCGACTCGACTTGCAAGCTTGGGAGCATGCACATTTGCAATCCCCATCTACGTCACTGTTATCAATCCAGCGGAAGCACGCCCGTTTTCTCGCTAAATTTGTGTAACTAACATTTGGGACTTGTACATGTCGCCCGATAATATCTTTTTGAATTCCTGCCACTAGCCATTGATGCATTATGCATCACTCGAACAGGAAGCCCCAACCTAATCGTCTTATCTAACACTCATTGATATTTACTTCCAGATAGACGAGATCGAATTCCCCATTGAAGTAGGTCGGTATCACTCACTGATGGGTTGCATCATGATACTTTACTAACTTCCCAAAGTACATACGGTGGCGTTGTAATTGTAACGCTGCAGCCTCGGGAGCTCCGTCGTCCAACCTGCTTTCGATAATATCTTGCGATGCGTACCCTGGGTGACGCATTGTAGCACATATTCTTGGCCAATTCGGACAGCACAACATGGAACTGGGCATACCGTTGGCAAATTGTAACGTTCGCCCGCGGGGGAGGTGGGGAGGGGCAGCTTATAATTATGGCTGCAACCCCATCCCTCTTGAGCGCCATCCATTGTTCATCTGGTCTATCAACACACGATGGTTCTTCTCTTGAATCTGTTCCTGCTTCTGCCAGCCGTTCAGGTACTCGCCTGCGCCTTGCATCGCCCGTCTGAGACAACGGAAAAAGTTGGTGTTGAGCGTAGGGACTCAGTTGATGGGAAATGTGGGGCTGCAAATAAGGGACAAACTTGCAGTGGTTCCAGTGTGAATAAATGTTGTTCAAAATATGGATGGTATCTTTCTCTCTTCTTCTGCTTTATCGTGTTTTCGATGAATGGCTAAGATTCATGATCATGGCAATCGAAGGTGTGGGGATACAGTTGATCATTGCGGTTCGTTCGGCTGCTACTAGTACCCGGATATGGTAAAATTCGATAGCTAATTCTCGTCAGGTACTGGGTGTCAATCCGCATATGGGGTATGTTGGTTTTTTTTCTCGATGTAAGTATGCGAAGCCAACAGACAGATGCTGATCATGATGGCCACAAACTCAGACATGCAGCACTAGTCCTGTACCAACACTCCCCACAATCGGACCTCGACCCAAGCTCGGAATGGTTCCGTATGGTATTTATATTTGCCCATATTTGGTGCCTGATTTTCTGCATGCATGTTTTAACGTTGTCACTGCCAGGCACGGATATTTTTGCATGCACGAAACCAGGGACAATTGCTCTGTCTGTAACCCAAACCCTCCAAACATCTCTCTCCTAAGCGCCACTAATATGTCTTGTCTTCTCATCAGTACATTTGACGATGGTCCTTGGTATTACACTGCAGCACTTCTCGACCTCCTCAAACTAAAATCCGTAAAAGCAACCTTCTTTATCACGTCCGTGGGGCCCTCGTATCATTTTTTTCCCAACGTCACCTTAACACACTAACCCGCTATATAACAGTGGCAATAATCTTGGTAAAGGAGAAATTGATGGCACATCCACCTGGAGAACGTTAATCCAACGTATCTACAATGAAGGCCACCAGGTCGCTTCACACACATGGACTCACCCTGACCTCAATTTGCTCGATGAGACAACCCGAAGATATGAAATGATTAGGAACGAGCAGGCGCTTCTCAGCATCATTGGAAGATATCCGACATATATGCGCCCGCCATATATCTCGTGTGGTACAGCGTGTAGAAACACGATGGGAGAATTGGGGTATCATGTTATCATATGGGATTTGGATACAGACGATTATAATAACGACTCCCCTACTTTGATTCAGAATAGTAAGGATAGGGTTAAGGTAACGTTGGCCCAGAAATGGGATGCTTATATGAGTATTGCGTAAGTTAGCGTTATCGAGCTTCAAAACGAGGGAGATGGAGAGAGGCTAATGAATGACGATATGTGTAGGCATGATATTCATTACCAGACTGTGTACAATTTGACCGCATATCAAATTGATGCTGCCAAGGCGGCTGGGTATAATCGTGAGTAAATCCCTCCACGAGACATAGTGGAGAACCGAGGGGGCTAATGTTAATGTGGTTGTAGATGTGAGACTGGGAGAGTGTTTGTCAGACCCGGAGGTGAATTGGTATCGCACGGCGTTGTAGTTTTGATGATATACAGCAGATTCTTGCTGGTTACGCGTATACGAAGAATGTATGTTTTTAGTGTCCAAGCCTGTCTAGATTGCGGGGCAACTGATGTTTTGTTCGTTCTCTTTGCCTCTGTCATTAATATCCCGGTCCTGGTGTAGAGCTATAGAGATATACAGGTATCTCTTGATCCTACGGCATTGCCGAAATCTAGCGTATTGTACGTATACTATACCGAACATAACGGTTGGCAAGCAATTGACTGGCTGGTAATAAAGTATCTGCCACGGGATAGTCCGACAAGAGCTAGACCGAGTGACAAGGGGTGTCGAAGATGTTTGAAGAAATAGACGGATATGCCGCACGAGTACTCGAGTACGAACGGATGGAGACACCGGCGGTCCAGGTTGGGTCATGGCCATGGGGCACTTTAACTTATGACACAGTGGCTGAGAAAAGTACATCTCGGTTAGAATCAACTCAGCGCATGGGAATTTCAGCTTTATGAATGGAAAAGGCCTTGTAAGCATTACAAAGTATGAGATGCATCAACAACGCTCCAACCAATATTACAGAAGGCGTTCATTGTGGTGTTCTGCTCGATTTGGATTCTACATATCCAGCTTCTCCCCCGAACTCCACCCAAAACCTTAAACCCAATTCCGATCACGTGTCAGGATGCGGGGTTAATTCACCCCTCATGCTCACCACCCTCCAGATATCGACCCATTATACCTCCACCCCGATATTAATGTCTACCCCCCAGCGCGTCCGCATCGGCATCCTCGGCTGCGGCGAGGTAACCCAAGTGATCCACATCCCAACACTGACCTTCCTCTCCGCCCTCTTCCAGATCGTATATCTCTGCGATATCTCCCCCGGCGCCCTCTCCTACGCCTCCTCTCGCCTTCCACACTTCCACAAAACTACCCTCAACCCCTCAGAGCTCATCGAGTCCCCGCATGTCGACGTCGTTTTCATCCTCAACTCAGATGAATACCACTGCACACATGCCGTGGCAGCTCTCAACGCTGGGAAACATGTGTTCGTTGAGAAACCGATGGCGCTGTGTATCCGCGATGCAGACCGCATTGTCGAGGCCGAGAGGAAGAGTAAAGGAAGGGTTATGGTCGGGTATATGAGACGGTATGCGGCGGTGTTTCGGGATGCGATGGAGGAGGTGGGAGGGGTTGAGGAGGTAATTTATGCGAGAGTAAGAGATATCATCGCCCCGAATCACGTATTTGTAAAACAGTCCGGGATGTGTCCGGAGCGGTTCACGGATGCATCTGCAGAGGCGGTGAAGGATAAGGAGGAGAAAGCGCGGGAACAGACATATCAAGCTCTCATGGTCGAAAATTCGGTGGAGATGAATGACGAGTCCACAAATATATGGCGGATCCTTGCGAGGTGCGTCCCCCTCTAAGCTTCCCCACGCTTACTTCCGCCTTCTGAACCCCTTGCAGTCTCGGCTCCCACGACCTCTCTCTCATGAGGGAAGCCCTCGGCACACCAACCGGTGTCCACGGATGCCACCTCCGCTTCCCAATCTGGACAGTGTTGTTTCGATACCCGTCTTTTGCAGTGACGTATGAGAGCGGATTCGACGACGTGCCTAGGTTCGATGCGCATCTGGAGATATTTGGGCGGAAGAAGACTGTCAAGGTTCAGTACGATACGCCGTATGTAAAGGGGTTACCGGTGGTTATGACTGTGCGTGAGGCGGTGGAGGGGGATGAGGGCGCATATCAGGAGAGAACGGTAAGGAGAACGTATGAAGACCCGTATACGCTGGAGCTGAAGGAGCTGTGGGAGATGGTTGTTAATGGGAAAGATGTGAAAACTACGGCTGAGGATGCGAGGAAGGATTTGGAGGTTTTTGGGATGGTTGTGAAAGCTGGTTTTTTTGATGCTGCCCGCATTTAAAGTTTTATAAAAGGTGAAGAAGGATGTAGTATCAATTCGGCATCGTGTCACAAACCATCACTCTCACAATCACTCCGACGACCGAAAGACCACTTAGGACGGGCGTGCCCAAAAGTACATACCACCCACCCAATCCTTGTTTGAGTACCTCACGCAAAACAATCACCTCTTCACCACCAACCATATAACATCCCCAAGGACGTTTCCAAGTTTGCATCAACCACCATGGACCGCCGTATATTTATTCCTCTCTCCAATCCTCCTCCATCACCATTACCATCTCCTCCTGCTTCATTCTGTCATTGCCGCTATCGATATCATCTCCTCCTGCTTCATTCTATCATCACTGCTATCGATATCATCTGCACAACAAACAATCATGGCCACTTCCACCACCCCCTCACTCCTCCTCCACTCCAACGGCTTTACCTACGCCTTTTACCCGGGTTACCCCTACACCATCACCTTCCACGCGGAAGAAGCACGCATTTCCCGGCTCCCCTCCGACCCCCCAACCTCTCCGTGGCCACCTCCAACCACCTTCCTCCCACCACCACGTTCTCACTGCCTCTACCGTCTCACTTACATCAAAGATTCCGACGCCCTTCCCGACCCCCCGTCGATCTCCTCCTCCCCCTCCCCGTCCACCGCTCTCCTCCGCATTCTCACCACGCAAAAACCGCGGGCAATAACACTTTCTCCGATCCCCACGGTCCCCTTGTCCGTGGTCCTCCGCAACGTCAGAGGTGGAAAAATCGAGAGAATCACGCACAACCCGTTTTCGGGCCGCACGACGGTGTTTTTTGTCGACCCTGCAGTCGCGAAGGAGTTCCTTGAATACGTCAACAAGAATGGAGGCATCCCGTGGTTGGGTTACTCCCAGAAGACGAGTTGGGCGTCATTCCTGCCGGCGAGCCATGGTGGTGCTGAACCAGTGAAGGAGGATGTGAGATCCGCGATACGCTCTGAGTGTGCTGGGAGAGTGCTGGTTGTGAAAGCACTTGGGAACTATGTCAGTGCAGAGGAGATTAGAGGGGAGATAGTGAAGAACGCTGGCAGGGTCAGAGCAGTATTTGAAGATGTCGAGGTGGATCAACAATCCGGTGATGTCATTGTAAAGATGACAAGCATCGGAACTACCCTCAGAGCAAGAGCTACTGTGCAGAGGGTGTGGGGGGCGGTGACGGAGTGGGGGAAGGATGGGTGTGAGGGGGAGATGCAGGGGCTGCGGGAGGAGTGGAGGCAGGTGAGGGAGGAGAATGCGAAGAGGGAGCAGGAGGAGGAGGAGAGCAGACAAATCAGAGAGTGGGTAGCTACGAGACGGAGTGGGAGGTGAGGGGTTTTGGGGAGAGGGGGG